TATATAGTGACATTTTGGAATGCTCAATTGTAATTTATTAATGTTGCAATATGTTGTCAATCTGTCAAGGTCGCTTTGGAAAGATATACAGTCTTCTATATTTTTAATAGTTTTGTAGGCTTTCAGGTCGTCGGCATATAATAGGAAATTGGGGTTAAGAAAACATTTGTCTATATCATTAACGAAAATGATAAATAACAATGGTCCAAGAAAGGATCCTTGAGGAACGCCCGATGTAACCAAAACGTCCCTTGACTGATATCCATTTACTATAACTTTTTGGGAACGGAATAGCGCAGAAAAATACCACGAACACCGTTGAATGCAATCTTGTTAAGAAGAATCTCATGATCCACCTTGCTTTCTTAAAATCTGTATATACAGCATGTACTTGAAAACCGTCATCAACTTGCAAATAAATTATTCGTAAAGGTAAGTAGATTACTAGTAGTAGATCTATGTTTAACGAAACCATGTTGTTCTTCAATGATAGCCCTGTGCAGAACCGGGTAAATTTGGTTGTGGACTAATTTTTCGTGGACTTTCGACAAGACGGAGAGAATAGAGATGGGGCGATACTGTTCAACATCATGTTTTGACCCACTTTTATGAACTGGAGTTATATTTGCATGTTTCCACCTCCTAGGAAAAACAGCTCTGACAAACACCTATTATAGATAATGTGCAAAGGCTTATAAATATTTTCAGCAGTTTGTTTGTAAAAGAGTGGAGGAAGGCCATCTGGACCAGGACCCTTGGAAGTGTCTAAATTTTTGAGTTCATTTAGAATTTCAGTTTCAGTAAAGTAAATATTAGAAATTAAAATATCGTGACTTGAGGTACAAGATGGAAGCTGCCAATGCGAAAGAGAAGGAGGAGAAGGCTCAAACACTGATTGAAAGAAGTCAGAGAACATATTACATACCATCTCGGGGTCACTGGATTTAAGGTAATGGTAATGCAAAGTAAACGGAATTTTAGTCTCAGTTTTGCGACTCGATACATAGGTCCAAAAGTGTTTTATATTTTTAGTTATATTTTGCTCTACAGTGTCCATATACCTACGATAGCATTGTTTGCCTTGGATCTTAAATGTATTTCTGTAATGGGAAAATTGTACGTAGTCACTTGGGTTTTTATATTTCTTCCACTTAGTCCAGGCCATTTGTTTACATTTAAATGTTTTAATCAGAGGACGTGAAAACCAGACAGGAAATCATCCGGGGCGAGAACTAGAACGTGGTGAATGTTGTTTTATGATGTCATCTATGGTCATATAAAAGGTTTCAATGCAGTAGATGGAAGGTTTGCAGTATTTTGTTTTTTCAAGCTTGGAATTAATGATAAATATACATAACTATATATTTAATATACTAACGTAAATAAATAAATAAATAAAAGTCCTACCAGAAGGAAGCCCTTGGCAGGGGAAACCAAACAGCCGATTTTTTATTATTATTTTATAATAATTGATATAATATATACTTATTAACTATTATTAAAAAGTTATGTAAAAGATCGCTGTAGAAGAAAAATCATCTATTTTTATAAAGCACTTTATACATTTAACATCAAAAAGCATTAATTTATAACACATATGAAGATTCGAGTGATAAAGACACCGAATAAGTACGTACTTATTCAAAAGATAAAACTTTATTTTCAATATTATATAAGAACTTTATTTTTATTCGGTGCAATCATCACTCGTATCTTCACTTGATGTGTATTCAGATGAACTGTCTGTAACATTAATTATAAAGCGATCTGCAGTTTGGTTAATTCTATCATCCATGACACGCATTTTTGTTCAACCTTAAGGACATGCTGAATACAGTTTTTCCATTTATCTGGCTTGATTTGAGTTAAACCATCTTTAAATACATTTTTAACATCTATTAACTTGAAAGTTGTATTTTTTCAATAAAATTGCGGACCGGCCCAAAAAAGGTGACGCCTCTCTGGCTGCCATTGTGACGTTTCTTTTAGAACGAACTGACGTAACGCCCGTTTTGTTTATTTTAAAGGGATGAATTTGCAAAAGCTCAGCATGGTGATTATATTGCTTCAAATATTTTTTTATAATATGAAACTGTTATTAAATGAATTGCTGAATGAACATTTTTCGCGATGTACCGTAAGATTTTACGATGTTTATAGGAATCACAGACAATATTATTTAAGAAACAAGAAAATAAAACATACGTGCTGACGTAGAAGGGTGAATAATATCAATATTTAAATATTGTTATCATATCTAAATTGAGATTTCGTAAGTTACGTCTTTTGAAACTCTCATCATATCTGAGGTCATTGTTCGTTTTTCTCAATCGATTTGGCAAGAACTATAGAAAGTGCCATTGCTCACACATTACAAAAATAGCGGCGATTTATGACGTCATATATTTCCCTAGGGTACTGAGGCAGTATACTGGCAGTCCATAACGGAACGAATTTCTCACCGGTGAAACCATATATAAAGATATCCTTTGTCTATGATTGAAAGTATTGAGCAGTGCTCGTAGTGTATTTATCCTATACTGTATTTATATATATATATATATATATATATATATATATATATATATATATATATATGTAAAGTAAAGTTACAGCCTATATCCTCCCTCCCTAAGGCCTCCCCATTTCTGAGAGGGTTTTAGGGCAAGGAAGTGTCCGCCGCGCTGCCCAAATGCGTGTTGACGAACTTTACATGTCTTCGAAATATTTTTTTTTCTTATTCCTCAGACATGCAGGTTTCCTCACGATGTTTTCCTTAACCGCCGAGCACGTGGTAAATCAGCACTTAAAATTGCAATTAACAATTTCATTGGTGCCGGCGGGGATCGAACCCGGGTTACTCGCGTATATATATATATATATATATATAAGTGTGTCTGGTCACGACCTAGCGATAATTTAAAGTTACAAAATATACCTAATTTCATCGACGAAAACACCCATATATGTGGGTCTACGCCTCCTCCTGTCGGAATGGCCGCCATTTAATTTTTTTTATTCTTCTACTGATACTGATGATATTGAATGATTGATGATACTGATGGTGAATAATTTTCATTAAGAAAAGCTCTCACAGCACGTGCGTAGTGAGCTGGTGCACCGTCCAACTGTAGCCACATGCGCCTTCGGTTGATCACTGGTAATCCTCCATGATGAATGTGCTAGTTTTTGAAGTATGTTAAGAAAAATAAAAAAAAATAGTCAATTTTTTTACTTAAATTAGCATGATAAATGTTTTAAGATATTTTGTAGGGAAAACTTTCCATGATGTTTATTTTTAATTGATAGATGCTATTTTTACCTTTTAAATAACATTTTTTTTTACATTTGTAGGACCTTTCTGTCCAGAGAAATCTGCATCTTTTGGCAGAGGTATCTACAAGAATAAAAAAATTAAATGGCGGCCATTACGACAGGAGGGGGCGTAGACCCCAATATATGGGTGTTTTCGTCGATGAAATTAGGTATATTTTGTAACCCTAAATTATCGCTAGGTCGTGACCAGACACACTATATATATATATATATATATATATATATATATATATATATATATATATATATATATATATATATATATATATATATAGTAGTATATACTTTATTGTACACCACACATATACAACGAATAAACACATTACAGAGAAAACTTAATATATACGTATGTACAATAAGGCGGTCTTATCGCTAAAGAGCGATCTCTTCCAGACAACCTTTGGGCTAAGGAGAAACTGGAATTAGAACAGTAGGAGGTGGTGCGTTTTATGTTACACATACATTCTAATATCTAAATAAACTAAACTATATTTATTAAAATACCACAATAATACATAAAAAATAATAATAAAATAAACATACATATTAATAAATAGGTATATATATAAATATATACGCATACATATATATAAATAGATAATAAATAAATAAATACAAAACAAAGAGGAAAAAAAACACAGAATAACTATCTGTTGCTAGAAATGGTTATCAATAACCACAAAGTGTTAGGTAATGCTTCTTGACGTCATTTTTGAAACTTTCCTATACTATTTCCTATACTATAGCCTGGGACTTGAACGGATTGATTTTTAGACCATAACGCTGACTCCACTGGTTTATCGCCGCTAAGTCATTGTTGATGGTGGCAACAGCAGAAGGCAGATTTAACAGAGTTGACTGAGTGTAGATTTGGAGACCGTCTGCATACATGTGATAGAGAGAAGTAATATTTTGAGAGATAGAATTAATGAATATAGCAAAAAGTAAAGGAGACAGCACACCACCTTGAGCCACGCCAGCCCGCAATTCGCACCAAGATGAGAACTCATCTTCGATGCGAATACGCTGCCGTCGGCCGTAAAGATAACAATGAAACCAGCCAATCACCGGAGGAGATATGTTAATAGAACGTAACACACTCAATAAGATGTCAAAATCAACAGTGTTAAAAGCATTGCTAAAATCAAGCAATACCAACACAGTGAGCTGTTTGTTATCCATGCCTCGTCGAATGTCATCGGTAACTTTAACCAATGCTGTTGTCGTACTATGACCCGATCGGAAACCAGATTGGAGAGGATCCAGGATACAATTTCTATTTAGGTAGAGATTTAACTGAAAGAAAACTAGTTTCTCCAGGAGTTTGGATAAAAACGGAAGAATTGAGATAGGACGAAAGTCGGAAAAATGCAAAGCATGGGCTTTTTTTGGGAGAGGCGTTACAAGTGCACTTTTCCAAACATCAGGAAATTTTGAAGAGGAGACGGATTTATTCAAGATATGGGTGAGGATAGGAGTAACAAATTCTAGGATAGGTAAGATCATGTTACGACTAACATTGTCATCACCCACGGCATTGGACGAGATGGACAAAATGTTCTTTTTAACATCACTATCAGTGAAAGGAGAGAAATTAAACGGTGGAAAATCAGGAGTTGGTATTGAAGAAAGAATACTCAGAGTCCGGTCTTTATCTGAGCTATCTAATGTGCTAGAACAGGTGAAATATTTGTTAAGGAATTCAACATCAACATTATGATGAGGAGAATTATTGGATGTTTACCAACTCCAAGAGACTGAAGAAACTTCCAAACTTTGGCTGCGTCGCCGTTTTCGACGGATTTATGAATATGGCGTCTTTGTGCATCCCTACACAATGTATTGCAGCGATTCCGTACTTTATTATAATATCGTAAGTTTTTTTCATTCTTATCAGCTTTTAACTTACTATTAGCAAATCCTTTTTTTATAATAAGTTTTTTTAGACTATCAGTTAACCAAGGTGCTGGTAAATGTTTCATTTTTATTGGTTTTACTGGGGCATGGATGTCATAAAGTTGGATAAGAAAGGAGTTAAATAACTCGACTTTCAAGTCGACTGTTGAAGCATTTTCAACAGCTGACCAGTCCATGCGACTAGCATCTTCCAGAAGACGTTCTTTGTCCATTCCACCAAAATTACGTCGCAGAAGGATTCTCGATTTTGCTTTAGGAGGACGGACCTTGTATGTAAGAAACAAGAGATCATGATGAGAGAAGAGATCAGCGTCATGCTGGCCATGTTTCAGGACAAAATCTGGAGAGGATACAATGATTAAGTCAAGTAGTGATGGAGTACACTCAGGAATTTTATGCGTAGCAGATAGTGGTAATATATGTAGATTACATGCCTCGGTTAATGATTTTAGCTTTTCACACCGATAGTCACCCTTGAGTAGGCATGTGTTAAAGTCACCCATGATTATAGTGTGAGTATATAATGGGATTAAATTTTCTAATAAATATTCGAAAGAAGAGAAATAGTCAATATGAAGAGAAGGACTGTAACAAACGCCAAGAAGAATTTTCGTATTGGATAGGGTTACTTCAATGAAGAGATGCTCAGCCGCATTAGAAGGAGATGGTTGGGGGGACAAGCTTACTACCGCAAAAGGTAGATAAGAACGGAGATAGATTGCCACACCTCCACCCCCCCTTTCCAATACGGTCGTTGCGAATAAGATGGAATCCTGGTAATGAATAAGAAGTGGATGGCAATCATGGTTTCAACCAATATTCAGAGACTAGAATGGCGTGATGTTATGGGATTCAAAGGACGCAAGCATTTCGGGATAATGAGCCGGAATACTTTGGGCGTTTATATGAATTACATTAAAGTTTTTCAGGGAATCTGAGAAATATGAATTAAGTGCTAATCCCAGTCAGCCTCTTGGGTCATCTGAGGCGGCTGGGACTACGTGGCGGACCGCTCCAGGTTCAAATGCAGAAGGCGGTGCTCCTCGATACCGCCCGCATCGTCCGCCGGTTTCTTTCCCTTTCCCCCTAACCCTCGGCCGTTTGGTCTTCCCTGCCGAGGGCCTCCATCTGGTTGGGCTTTTATTTATTTATGTACTTTTATATTTATTTTATGTTATTGATATTTATGTATATTTATTTTTTCATTTCCATTTATAATTATATATTTATAGAACCCAACCAGATGAGAAAACTATATAGATATCCCATAGTAATAATAATAATAATAGTAATAACTTCTCCGCCGCCTGGAACTTCTCCGCCGCCTGGATAGACTACAGAAAGGCATTCGACTCGGTGCCCCATACATGGCTAAAGAGAGTCCTCGAGCTGTACAAGATAGACTGTACAGTTAGAGACTTCCTCGAGCAGTGTATGGGGCAGTGGAGTACGATCCTTTGTCATCTGGGCGAGCGGATGATGGCTGCGGAGAACCACTTAAGGATAAGAAGGGGTATCTTCCAGGGCGATTGTCTGAGTCCAATCTGGTTCTGCCTCTCTCTGAACCCTCTTAGTACCTTACTGGAGGGCTCCGGGAGGGGATTTCAGCTACGGAAAGGAGGGACAAAAGTGACCCACCTTTTCTATATGGATGACCTCAAGTTATTCGCCTCCAGTCGCTCCCATCTTATGGAATTGAACATCACTTGTGAATTTAGCAATTCCATTGGAATGGAGCTTGGGACGGATAAGTGTGCGGTCCTCCATGTTGAAAGGGGAAGGGTTGCTAACTCTGAGGGCGTAGACTTATCTATGCCCGTCAACTTAAGGACCCTTTCCGAGGCTGAAATATACCGATACCTGGGTATGTCACAAAATATCGGTATCGATGAGACTGGTATGAAACAGTTAGTTTGCGACGTGTTTTATGCACGCTTGACCAAAGTGCTTAACAGCCTTTTGTCCGGTGTGAATAAAGCACACGCATGTAACGGCTGGGTCATGCCTGTCCTCATGTATACCTTTGGCATACTCAGGTGGACTCAGACTGAACTTAACGCCCTGGATAGAAAAGTCCGCACTACCATGACGTCTCATAGGATGCATCATCCGAGATCGTCGGTAATGAGGCTGTACTTGCCGCGGAAGCATGGTGGTCGTGGCTTCTTGAGCGCGCTCACCATGCATAATCGCGAAGTGTGCAGCCTCCGTGATTACTTCCTGGCGAGATCGGATGATCCATTCTATAAGGACGTCATTTCTTGTGATAAAGAACTTACCCCTCTATCCTTAGCCAACGAGCAATGGCAAGACCCGGCAGTGCAGAGCATTTCCGACCGGGAGACCGTATGGAAGAAGAAGGAGCTCCACGGGAGGTTCTACAAGGCTCTACATGAGCCTTTCGTAGACACAGTAGCCTCCCTCCACTGGCTACGCTTTGGTGATCTCTTCGGGGAAACCGAGGGTTTTGTCTGTGCAATACAGGATCAGGTTATTAAGACCAACAACTATCGGAGATACATCCTAAAGGATGGCACCGTCGACATCTGTCGAGCTTGTCGACATCCTGGGGAGTCACTTAGGCATGTTATCTCCGGTTGTTCGGCGCTTTCTAACTCTGAGTACTTGCACAGGCACAACCTTGTAGCCAGAATTCTACACCAGGAGCTCGCTCTGAAATACGGTCTCGTGGATCGGAAATTGCCGTATTACAAGTACTTGCCGGAAGCCGTGCTCGAAAATGATCGTGCCAGGCTCTATTGGGACCGGGCCATCATCACAGACAGGACTATTCTTGCGAATAAGCCTGATATTGTGCTGATGGACCGGGCACAGTCAAGGATATTTTTGGTCGACATTACCATTCCGTATGACGAGAACCTCGTGAAAGCCGAAACAGACAAGCAAACAAAATATCTGGACCTGGCTCACGAGGTGACCGACATGTGGGGTGGTCTGCCGACCGAAATTATTCCTGTAGTCGTCTCTGCAAACGGGCTAATCCCAGTCAGCCTCTCGGGTCATCTGAGGCGGCTGGGACTACGTGGCAGACCGCTCCAGGTTCAAATGCAGAAGGCGGTGCTCCTCGATACCGCCCGCATCGTCCGCCGGTTTCTTTCCCTTTCCCCCTAACCCTCGGCCGTTTGGTCTCCCCTGCCGAGGGCTTCCATCTGGTTGGGCTTTTATTTATTTGTGTACTTTTGTATTTATTTTATTTTATTGTTATTTATGTATATTTATCTTTTCATTTTCATTTATAATTATATATTTATACATCCCAACCAGATGAGAAAACTATATAGATACCCCACATAATAATAGATGCTTCAGAATAACTGAAATAAAAAGAGACAATTTTTAAACAAAACAAAACTATCAAAATCTGTAAACAAATAGCATTTTACAAATAAAAATAAGTAATGAGCACAAAGAGAATTGTTATAGAAATGTTGCTTTGTGATAAGAAAAGAAGTCAAAAATTCCATAAGGTACGGCTGTATGACTATGAGACCTTTGCCTACGCCGAAGAAAGAAATAAAAATGTGCAACTGTTATCCAATGTCATGTCAATTCACTTATTGTTTGTTTACATTGAAATGGTTTTTTATATATAAGTTACAAGTAACTACCTCACATCGTCTATATAAAAGAAAAATGGTAATTTAAATTAATAAAAATAAATTAAAAAAAATTTTTACAATAAAAGAATGTAAACAAACCAGAAATACGGTAGTCGCACAAGATACAACAGATTTAACCAGCTCCAAAAAAGGACTCATTTTTTACCAATTCTCTTGGTTCTTACTTGAGCAGACCTGGAGTCTTTCACCACACTTGGAACCGAGGTTGCAGCAGATGTGGCTTGAGTCACCGACTCAGAGGTCGAGATAGCATTAAGATCAAGCCTAGAATGGATACGATGGCGTACTTGATCAGGTCCTAGTACGAAGATGATGCCATCCCTCGTCCAGCACCTTGAAACTCCGAAACGTTGACGCGCCGCTTGGAATGTAGTATGGCGACCCTTTGTAAGAAATTCGGACAATGTAATCCCAGTGCCTTTCAAATTTTTCTTTGCAAGCCATATCTTCTCTTTTGTCCCATAGTCTCTAAATTCTACAAGCACAGCCCGGGGTTTATCAGTGCCAGGTTGACCAAGACGATGTGACCGGCCTATCGAATCAGTAGTAACACCAGGAACTTTCAAGTGGCCGGATAGAACCTTGACAACACTAGAGGATGTGTTCTCTTTCTTGTCTTCGGCTATACCATGAACAAGCAGGATTTTTCTTCGAGATCTCATCTCCATGTTATCATTTTGTTGAGCTAATAGTTCAACTTGCAATTGCAAATTTTCTAAAGCAGTTAAAGCACCGGAATGAATGAAATTGGTGATTAATATTTGAAGTGGGGCTTGTTGCTGGAATTGAACTCTTGAGATCTTTTTGGAACTCGGCCATCCTTAAGTTGAAATGTTCAGTGAGGTCCGCAACAGATTTCTTAAAAAAATTTAAACTCCGCCATTGCCGGTCCCAAGCCCGGATGAGAAAGGAGGAGGGGACGGTTCCGCCGGAGAGAGTGGGTGTATCCGGTGGACTAACACACCCACCTGCGCTAGGACCTGCGCAGTCGAGCACCGTACGGGGGGATGAAGGAGTCCTGGAGGGTTGAGCCGATCGTCGCTGGGGTATATAGTGGCGAGAGGCAACACGCCCTCTTTGGTCCGGATTTCAAGCTAAACGGTGGCCCTATCTGCTAGCCACAGATAGGGAAATGGCCAAGCGCCCCGTCAGAGGGTCGCAGGCGAGGGATGTGGGGGCTGCCTAGTTTTCCTGAAAAGGGGGGCTGGGTGGTGGTAAAGGCCATGCTGACGGAGCAAGTGACAGTTTATTCGGGTGGTGGGGATGGGCCTTGTCAGCCCCATCTACCAGCTGGATCGAGCTCCCGATGTCGCGCTGTGAGCCAACTTCGCGTCCCTATATTCTCCCGGTAATCCTAACGCCTGAAATAGGGCGTTCCCAAAGGTGCGGGCGCCATGGAGGGTGGGAAGCCGGGGGGGATGAATTTTAAAGAACAAAATATTATGGACAATTTAAGGCCCAATAAGAAAGAGGGAGAGGTGTCAGAGGTGCTTACCAGAGACACAAATACAAGAGAGAACAAGGGGGGATCCGTCACTAAACCGACGGTTCCACGGAAAGTACCGTCCAGCGCAGGTACTCCCATCAAAGGGACAACTACCTCGCTGAACGTTTCCAAAACCAGTTCCAAGGAGCTGGAGGGGAAAAAAGAACAAGAGCCCGCGAGTGACAAAACTGCGGAGCCAATACGAACTGACGACCTTTTCTCTGCTGCCTGGCAAGTGGTGAGCCGTAAGGGGAAAGGCAAGGCACCCAAAAAGGTGACTTGCCGACCTGACGGACCATCAGGAGGGTCTATCCCTGCAGGCAGTAGTGGAAAGGCCAAAAAGAAGAACAAGAAGCAGCGGGAAAAAGGCCGAAGA